TTCAATATTGTAATTAGCTGAATGCAAAAAAATGGCCAGATGCTTATAAGAACCCAGATGCATGAGCATATAACATATGTTACTAAACTGACAAAAGTAGGTTGCTATTTCCTTATTAAGAGTAAATACCCTAGCTATTAATCATTCTAGAATTTTCTTTAATGTAAAAGGGAATTTTTTAAAATTAAAATGTATATTTAATCAATTGTTTGAAAAAGTACAAAAGCACAAAGTGGGTGTATGAAAGCAAGCCTAAAGGTATTGCAACAAAATCACCAATACCTTTCATTAAACAAAAATTTCAAACCATTTCTTCACATATCCTTCATCTAGGTCTGGATACTCTTGGAAATAGTGTTTTTATCCCACTAACCCTTCCCCTCAACTTCTGCACTCCAGTTTGTGCCACATTAAAACAGCAGTTTTGACATGCTTGAGGAATTCAAATCATGTTCTTTTCAATGATTTTGAGTTCTGTGAACAAAAAGAAGTCTCAAGGGACAAGATCAGGGCTACAAAGTAGGTGGTGTAAGGTTTCCCAGCAAACCCTCTTAGGACAGCCTTTGACTGAGCAGCTGCATTGGCCCGAGGGGGCGAGGTTTTCTTCTTTTCTGGCCTGTTTTTCACCTGGCAGCTTTCAGTTTTCTTGAAACTTTGTCATATTAAGTCCTTGTGATTGTACCATGTCCTTCAAGAAAATCTATCAAATTGAGGCCTTGAGAATTAAAAAACAAAATCCAAAAAAACTGCCATAACTTTCTGAGCTGACATCTCTGCCTTGAATTCATTTCTGTGGTCTTTTTTTACCGTCTTTAAAACAATTGATTCATCTAAAAATGGTTGTTCTATGTGAGGTAACATTTGTGTAAACTTGTAAAGCTTCAACGATTTAAGAAAGGCGTTTTGTTATACTTTTTTTTTTTTTTTTAGCCCTGACCTCAAAATTGTTTCTCAGTGGGAAAAAAGTATCCTTTTTTTTGAAGGTACCCTAACAACACAAAGACAAATGCACTCCTTAGAAAACTTGTCTGCCATCCCCTTACAGAAGGGTCGCGGGGAGGAGATGAGCCAGTCAGGGTGCAGAGTAGCAATGATGAAACATACAACTTTCCTCTAGTTCTTAAATGCTTCCTGCCCCCACCCACCTCCACTATCATGATCCCAATTGTACCTTA